GGTCTACAATTTTTCTTCTGAGGTCTTGGCTGATTTCTTTTGATTTTCCCATGATGTCAAGCAAAGAGGCACTGAGTTTGAAGGTAGGCCTTGAAATACATCCACAGGTACGCCTCCAATTGACTCAAATGATGTCAATTAGCCTATCAGAAGCTTCTAAAGTCATGACATAATTTTTTTGAATTTTCCAAGCTGTTTAAAGGCACAGTCAACTTAGTGTATGTAAACTTCTGACCCACTGGAATTGTGATACAGTGAATTATAAGTGAAATAATTTGTCTGTCAATAATTGTTGGAAGAATTACTTGTGTCATGCACAAAGTAGATGTCCTAATCGACATGGCAAAACTATAGTTTGTTAATAAGAAATATGTGGAGTGATTGAAAAACGAGTTTTAATGACTCCAACCTACAGTAAGTGTATGTAAACTTACGACTTCAACTATAACTGTGTCCTACGGAATAAACTCTGTATTCGGTGATTTACCCTCCAGCGCCTGACTCCTTCAAATCACACTCTCACAGAATCATCCATCGCATGCCTGGAGTCGTGGCACGGGTCCAGGAGCATTCCACGATGCTGGCCAGCTTGGGGGAAGCGATGGATCGGGTTCTTCAGGTCGTCCAACGCCTGGAGAGGAGAGGACCCGATCTGTCGAGACCAGCTGGCCAACCGGATCCAGCCACCAACACCCCAGCACCCGGAGGGATCCAGATATCCCGACCACGGGAGTTCGACGGGACGGCGTCTCTCTGCCAACGATTCCACCTCCAACTAGAGCTCTATTTCTCCAGCATCAGGCCGGCCCCATTGGAACGGGAGAAGGTGTCCGCCCTCGTCTCCTGCCTCTCGGGGAAAGCCCTAGAGTGGGCCAACACGGTGTGGAACGTAGGAGGAGCCGCGTTGGAGAACTACGGGGAGTTCGCTCGCCTCTTTAGGGCGGTCTTCGATCACCCGCCTGAAGGTCGAGAGGGTGCGTCCGAGGTAGGGATAGGATAGTGCCTATCTCAACGCCACCCAAGCTCCGCCCCTGTGCCTTCTTCTCTAAGAAGCTCAGCCCGGCGGAGCAGAACTACGACGTTGGTGATTGGGAGCTGTTGGCTGTTGTCCGAGCCTTGACCGTGTGGAGGCATTGGCTCAAAGGGGCGAAACACCCTTTCCTCGTCTGGACGGACCACCGTAACCTGGAGTACATCCGGGTAGCGAGGAGGCTGAATCCTCGCCAGACCAGGTGGGCCTTATTCTTCACCCGGTTCGATTTATCACTGTCATACATCCCGGGTACGAAGAACGTGAAGGCAGACGCATTGTTACGGCTATATGACACAGAGGAGAGGCCCAGAGACAACACCCCCATACTCCCTGATTCCTGCATTGTGGCGCCGGTAGTATGGGCGATGGACGCGGATATAGAGCAGGCATTACGCACAGATCCATCTCCACCTCAGTGTCCAGCTGGGCTGCGGTACGTTACTGCTCTTATCCGTGATCGTCTGATCTACTGGGCACACACGTCACCCTCCTCTGGTCACCCAGGTATCGGTCGTACAGTGCGCTGCCTGACCGGAAAGTACTGGTGGTCTACCTTGGCTAAGGACGTGAGGGTGTATGTCTCCTCCTGCTCGGTGTGCGCCCAGAGTAAGGCACCTAGGCACCTCCCAGCGGGTAAGTTACAACCTTTACCAATTCCACAACGACCATGGTCTCACCTAAGTGTTGATTTCCTGACTGATCTTCCCCTCTCCCAAGGTAACACCACCATCCTGGTCGTTGTGGACCGCTTTTCAAAGGCCTGCTGCCTCCTTCCTCTGCCCGGCCTCCCCACGGCCCTGCAAACTGAGGAGGCCCTGTTTACACATGTATTCCGGCACTACGGGGTACCAGAGGATATAGTGTCTGACCGAGGGCCCCAGTTCACATCCAAAGTCTGGAAGGCGTTCATGGAACATCTGGGGGTCTCGGTCAGCCTGACCTCTGGGTTCCACCCTTAGTCTAATGGGCAGGTGGAACGGGTAAATCAGGATGTGGGTAGGTTCCTGCGGTCCTACTGCCAGGACTGGCCGGGGGAGTGGCCGGTGTTCTTGCCATGGGCAGAATATGCCCAGAACTCTCTCCGCCACTCCTCTACTAACCTAATGCCATTCCAATGTGTTTTAGGTTACCAACTGGTTCTGGCACCGTGGCACCAGAGCCAGACTGAGGCTCCTGTGGTGGATGACTGGTTTCGGCGCTCGGAGGAGACGTGGGACGCTATCCATGTTCACCTCCAACGCACGTGCGTCGTCAGAAGGCCAACGCTGACCGCCACCACAGTGAGGCCCCGGTCTTCGTACCGGGGGATCGGGTCTGGCTCTCGACCCGGAATCTGCCCCTCCGCATGCCCTGCCGGAAGCTGAGCCCGTGGTTTGTGGGGCCGTTCAAAGTCCTGAGGAGAATCAACAAGGTCACCTATAGGTTATTACTTCCCCTGATTACCGTATTAACCCCTCGTTTCATGTGTCTCTCCTCAGGCCGGCGGTGGCTGGTCCACTCCAGGAGTCTGAGGTGTGGGAGGTCCCTCCACCTCCTCTGGACATCGAGGGGGCCCCGGCGTACTCTGTCTGTTCCATCCTGGATTTGAGGCGTCGGGTGGGGGGCCTTCAGTACCTCGTGGAGTGGGAGGGGTACGGTCCGGAGGAACGGTGCAGGGTCCCGGTGAGGGATATCCTCGATCCCTTCCTGTTGCGGGATTTCCACCGTCGCCATCCGGCTCGCCCTGCTCCGCGTCCTCCTGGCCGTCCTGAGGCCGGGGTCGGCGCGCTGCTGGAGCTGCGCGTCAAGGGGGGGTACTGTCACCACTTCCGCCGAGGCTGCCTCCCCTCCTTGTTCGGGCAGGTTTCGGCGTTCGTAGTCACCAGGTTACTAGCCACTGCCGCTCCATATATCATCATTGCATTTGTCTTGTCTTGCCAATTACACACACCTGGTTCATATCCCCTCATTAGTCCATGTAGAAGTGTTCCCTCTGCCCCCTTGTCCTTGTGGGTGATTTTTTTATGTGAAGATGAGTGTAGCTCGGTTGAGCTACCCATACTTTGTATTGCCAGGGTTATTTCTCCCCGTGTGCCTGTGTTGTGTTCCAGTGCGCCTGTATTACGCCCTGTGCTGTTGACGCTATCCAGCGTAACTGTTTCCTACGGAATAAACTCTGTATTCGGTGATTTACCCTCCTGCGCCTGACTCCTTCAAATCACACTCTCACAAATCAGGCCTCATTAGACCAAAGGACAGATTTCCACAGGTCTAATGTCCATTGCTCATGTTTCTTGGCCCAAGCAAGTCTCTTCTTATTATTGGTGTCCTTTTGTAGTGGTTTCTTTGCAGCAATTCGACCATGAAGGCCTGATTCACGCAGTCTCCCCTGACCAATTGATGTTGAGATGTGTCTGTTACTTGAACTCTGTGAAGCATTTATTTGGGCTGCAATCTGAGGTGCAGTTAACTTAATGAACTTATCCTCTGCAGCAGAGGTAACTCTGGGTCTTCCTTTCCTGTGGCGGTCCTCATGAGAGCCAGTTTCATCATAGCGCTTGATGGTTTTTGCGACTGCACTTGAAGAAACTTTCAAAGTTCTTGAAATGTTCTGTATTGACTGACCTTCGTGTCTTAAAGTAATGATGGACTGTCGTTTCTCTATGCTTATTTAAGCTGTTCTTGCCATAATATGGACTTGGTCTTTTACCAAATAGGGCTATCTTCTGTATACCACCCCTACCTTGTCACAACACAACTGATTGGCTCAAACGCATTAAGAAGGAAAAAAATGCCACAAATGATGTGCTGCAATCCTCACTGTTCTCATGATCATTGCAACTCCACGAGGTGAGATCTTGCATGGAGCCCCAGGCCGAGGGAGATTGACAGTTATTTTGTGTTTCTTCCATTTGCGAATAGTCGCACCTACTGTTGTCACCTTCTCACCAAGCTGCTTGGCAATGGTCTTGGAGCCCATTCCAGCCTTGTGTAGGTCTACAATTGTGTCCCTGACATCCTTGGAGAGCTCTTTGGTCTTGGCCATGGTGGAGAGTTTGGAATCTGATTGATTGATTGCTTCTGTGGACAGGTGTCTTTTATACAGGTAACAAACTGAGATTAGGCGCACTCCCTTTAAGAGTGTGCTCCTAATCTCAGCTCGTTACCTGTATAAAAGACACCAGGGAGCCAGAAATATTTCTGATTGAGAGGGGGTCAAACACTTATTTCCCTCATTAAAATGCAAATCAATTTATAACATTTTTGACATGCATTTTTCTGGATTTTTTTGTTGTTATTCTGTCTCTCACTGTTCAAATAAACCTACCATTAAAATTCTAGACTGATCATTTCTTTGTCAGTGGGCAAACGTACAAAATCAGCAGGGGATCAAATACCTTTTTCCCTCACTGTATGTATGTAACCACGGTTCCTCTTGAAAATAATCTGTGGCACCTTTTCCAGGTCCTAATACGAGCAAGGATTGCACCAGGTCATCTAACTCAGGCATTTCAACAGTGGCGTGCACAGCACCAGGGAGCCTGGGAGACATGCACTTAACCAAATCCCCTACGTTAATCTTGAAATATACAGTGCATTCGGAAAGTATTCTGACGCCGTGACTTTTTCCACATTTTGTTCAGTTACAACCTTATTCTAAAATGTATTACATCATTTTTTCCCCTCATCAATCTACAAACAATACCCCATTATGACAAAGCGAAAACAGGTTTTTAGAAATGGTTGCAAATGTATTACAAATAAAAAACATGAATCCCTTATTTACATAAGTTGTAAGGACAGACGCTGGGAGACGAGAAACAAGTACAGGGAGTGAACATTTACTAGATACAGACATGAAACAAAACATGGACAGCGTCTGGACAGGGGAAAGATAACAACATTAATGCTGACACAGGGATCAAACAGAGGAACAGACAGATATAGGGGAGTTAATTAACAAAGGGAAGGAGTCCAGGTGTGTCCAATGAGCGCTGATGCGCGTAACGATGGTGACAGGTGTGTGACAATGAATCAAAACATGGACAGCGTCTGGACAGGGGAAAGATAACAACATTAATGCTGACACAGGGATCAAACAGAGGAATAGACAGGTGATGGGCAGGGAGGGGGAGCGGGCGAAGGCGTGACAGTACCCCCCCCCCCCCCCCCCCCAGGAACGCCACCTGGCCGAGGCGCGGGAACCTGTCGTGCCTGACGGGCCGGCCGAGACATGGGAGCCTGATGAGCCGACTGATGCGTGGGAGCCTGACAAGCCGGCTGAGGCGTGGACGACTGACGAGCTGGCTGAAGCATGGAAGCCTGACGAGCCAGCTGAGGCGTGGAACCCTGACGAGCCAGCTGAGGCGTGGAAGCTTGCCTAGCCGGCAGAGGCATGGAAGCCTGACGAGCCAGCTGAGGCACCCCCGGTTCCTTCGGCCGCGGCACCCGGACCCGACGTCACCAACCCCCTAAAAAATAATAAAAATAAAAAAACGTCCTGATGCTTCCAATTTTGGTGTCAGCATTCTGTGAGGACAGACGTTGGGAGACAGGAAACAAGTACAGGGAGTGAACATTTAATGGAATAAACAGACAGGAACAAAACACAGACAGCGTCTGAACAGGGCAAACGAAACAACATCAATGCTGACACCAGGATCAAACCGATACAGGGGAGGTAATTAACAAAGGGAAGGAGTCCAGGTGTGTCCAATGAGCACTGATGTGCATAACGATGGTGACTGGTGTGCGTAATGATGGGCAGCCTGGCGCCCTCAAGCGCCAGGGAGGGGGAGCGGGAGCAGGCGTGACATAAATATTCAGACCCTTTGATATGAGACTCGAAATTGAGCTCAGGTGCATTCTCTTTCCATTGATCATCCTTGAGATGTTTCCAGAACTTGATTGGAATCCACCTGTGGTCAATTCAATTGATTGGACATGATTTGGAAAGGCACACACCTGTCTATATAAGGCCCCACAGTTGACAGTGGATGTCAGAGCAAAAACCAAGCAATGATGTCGAAGGAATTGTCCGTAGAACTCCGAGACAGGATTGTGTCAAGGCACAGATCTGGGGAAGGGTACCAAAAAATATCTGCAGCATTGAAGGTCCCCAAAAACACAGTGGCCATCATTCTTAAATGGAAGAAGTTTGGAACCACCAAGACTCTTCATAGAGCTGGCCGCCCAGCCAAACTGAGCAATCGGAGGAGAAGGGCCTTGGTTATGGAGATGACCAAGAACCCGATGGTCACTCTGACAGAGCTCCAGAGTTCCTCTGTGGAGATGGGAGAACCTTCCAGAAGGACAACCATCTCTGCAGCACGCCACCAATCAGGCTTTTATGGTAGAGTGGCCAGACGGAAGCCACTCCTCAGTAAAAGGCACATGACAGCCCGCTTGGAGTTTGCCAAAAGACACCTAAAGGACTCTCAGACCATGAGAAACAAGATTCTCTGGTCTGATGAAACCAAGATTGAACTCTTTGGCGTGAATGCTAAGCGCCACATCTGGAGGAAACCTGGCACCATCCCTACGGTGAAGCATGGTGGTGGCAGCATCTTGCTGTGGGGATGTTTTTCAGCGGCAGAGACTGGGTGACTAGTCAGGATCGAGGCAAAGTACAGAGAGATCCTTGATGAAAACCTGCTCCAGAGCGCTCAGGACCTCAGACTGGGCCGAAGGTTTACCTTACAACAGGACAACAACCCTAAGCACACAGCCAAGACAGCGCAGGAGTGGCTTCGGTACAAGTCTCTGAATGTCCTTGAGTGGCCCATCCAGAGCCCGGACTTGAACCCGATCTAACATCTCTGGAGAGACCTGAAAATGGCTGTGCAGCGACGCTCCCCAGCCAACCTGACAGAGCTTTAGAGGATCTGCAGAGAAGAATGGGAGAAACTCCTTAAATACAGGTATGCCAAGCTTGTAGCATCATACCCAAGAAGACTCGATGCTGTAATCACTGCCAAAGGTGCTTCAACAAAGTACTGAGTAAAGGGTCTGAATACTTATGTAAATGTGATATTTCATTTTTATAAATTTTGTACATTTGCAAAAATTTCTAAAAACCTGTTTTTGCTTTGTCATTATGGGGTATTGTGTGCATATTTATGATGGGGGAAAAAAACAATTTAATCAATTTTAGAATAAGGCTGTAACATAACAAAATGTGGAAAAAGTCAAGGGGTCTGAATACTTTCCAAATGCTCTGTAAATGTGACTTTATTTTCGAAATTAGATTTAGACTTTATTCTCGAAATATTGCCACTTTATTCTCAAAATATTGCCCCTTTATTCACAATATTTTATTTTGACCTTATTCTCAAAATATTGCCACTTTTTTAAAGTACTAGCATGCAAAAAAGTATAATCCAAGTGCCACCACCCCTTGCTGTTTTTTTTTTCACTTGGCCCTAATACTCTTCTGTAGACACTTTACATGTTGCGTTAATATTTTTGTTCAGTATACAAAGCGATCTATAATGACGCGTAACTCGGTAATACTTTAGGCTAGAAACAAGCTGTACATTTCACAAGAAAGACAGGATTCTGATGCAGATGTGGATTTATTTGGTTCAATGACATTCAGAGGCTGAGCTACAACCTCCTAAAGTCGAGGAGACAAAACAATTCAGCCATCAATTGAGCTAATCACTTTTTGAAAAAGATGTTTAACTAAATTAATACTTGATGGTTAAAATAAATGAGGCTACAATATTATCATATATTTGTTAGTGGAATAACATTTGTAAAAAATATTATTTACTTTTTTTCCCCCATACTTATTCTCATGAAAGTGCCTACCCAGAAGTTGTAATTAATGAGTCATGTTACACTACGTAAAATTGCAGGAAATTATCTTCAAAACAACAAACAATTTCTACATATTTCTACAATAATTAAAGTAGGCCTAAATACAGGCTCCGGTCAGCATTCTTGCCTCCAACCTTGACCATGCAACAGCATTCTTGTCTCCAACCTTGACTTCACACACATCTTTAACTTATTTGGTCTTTCACAATAGCTAGTGTAAGTCAGTGGAATAATTCTCATTCCGTACAATGGGCTAAAATATAGAAGACTGGCGCCGAAGAAGATGGCAGCCGTTTTACAGCCCTCTAACCAATTGTACTATTATGTGTGTTTTTTCGCATTATTTGTAATTTATTCTGTACATAATGTTTCTGCCACCGTCTCGTATGACCAAAAAGAGCTTCTGGATATCAGGACAGCGATTACTCACCTCGTATTGGACGAAGATTTTTTCTTCAACGAATCGGACGCGAAGGATATCCTACACACAACCGACAAGGCCCAAATCCCCGTCATTCGCATGAGAAAGAGACAGAGATATTGTGGACGTAGGTCGGGGTGCCTTGTAAGGATCCGACGGCGAGCGAGTAAACTGCCTCTTCCATCAATCCATTTAGCCAATGTTCAATCATTTAAAAATAAATTAGACGACCTAAGATTACTGTTATCCTACCAACAGGACATTAAAAACGGTAATGTCTTATGTTTCACAGAGTCATGGCTGAACGACGACATGGATAACATACAGCTGCCGAGATATACGCTACATCGGCAGGATAGAACGGCTGACTCCGGAAAGACAAAGGGTGGCGGTCTGTGTATATTTGTAAACAACAGCTGGTGCATAAAATCTAATACTAAGGAAGTCTCTAGGTTTTGCTTGCCTGAGGTAGAGTATCTCATGATAAGCTGTAAACCACACTATTTACCAAGAGAGTTTTCATCTATATTTACCACCACAAACCGATGCAGGCACTAAGATTGCACTCAATGAGCTGCATAAGGCCATAAATAAACAGGAAAATGCTCATCCAGAGGCAGCGCTCCTAGTGGCCGGGGACTTTAATGCAGGGAACCTTAAATCCGTTCTACCTCATTTCTACCAGCATGTTAAATGTGCAACCAGAGGGAGAAAAAAAAACTCTAGACCACCTTTACTCCACACACAGAGACCCGTACAAAGCTCTCCCTCGCCCTCCATTTGTCAAATCTGACCATAACTCTATCCTCCTGATTCCTGCTTATAAGCAAAAACTAAAGCAGGAAGTACCAGTGACTCGGTTAATAAGGAAGTGGTCAGATGACGCAGATGCTAAGCTACAGGACTGTTTTGCTAGCACAGACTGGAATATGTTCCGGGATTCTTCCGATAGCATTGAGGAGTACACCACATCAGTCACTGGCTTCATCAATAAGTGCATCGATGACGTCATCCCCACAGTGACCGTACGTACATACCCCAACCAGAAGCCATGGATTACAGGCAACATACGCACTGAGCTAAAGGGTAGAGCTGCTGCCTTCAAGGAGCGGGACTCAAGGGGCAAAGAGTCAATAGAGGACTAAGATTGAATCGTACTACACCGGCTCTGACGCTCGTCGGATGTGGCAGGGCTTGAAAACTATTACAGACTACAAAGGGAAGCACAGCCGCGAGCTGCCCAGTGACACAAGCCTACCAGATGAGCTAAATCACTTCTATGCTTGCTTTGAGGCAAGCAAAACTGAAGCATGCATGAGAGCATCAGCTGTTCCGGATGAGTATGTGATCAAGCTCTCTGTAGCCTACGTGAGTAAGACCTTTAAACAGGTCAACATTCACAAGGCCGCAGGGCCAGACGGATTACCAGGACGTGTACTCCGAGCATGTGCTGACCAACTGGCAAGTGTCTTCACTGACATTTTCAACATGTCCCTGACTGAGTCTGAAATACCAACATGTTTCAAGCAGACCACCATAGTCCCTGTGCCCAAGAACACTAAGATAACCTGCCTAAATGACTACCGACCCGTAGTACTCACGTCTGTAGCCATGAAGTGCTTTGAAAGGCTGGTCATGGCTCACATCAACACCATTATCCCAGAAACCCTAGACCCACTCCAATTTGCGTACTGCCCCAACAGATCCACAGATGATGCAATCTCTATTGCACTCCACACTGCCCTTTCCCACCTGGACAAGAGGAACACCTATGTGAGAATGCTATTAATTGACTACAGCTCAGCGTTCAACACCATAGTGCCCTCAAAGCTCATCACTAAGCTAAGGACCCTAGGACTAAACACCTCCCTCTGCAACTGGATCCTGGACTTCCTGACGGGCCGCCCCCAGGTGGTAAGGGTAGGTAACAGCACATCTGCCACACTGATCCTCAACACGGAGGCCCCTCATTGGTGCGTGCTTAGTCTCTCCTGTACTCCCTGTTCACCCATGACTGCATGGCCAGGCACGACTCCAACACCATCATTAAGTTTGCCGACGACACAACAGTGGTAGGCCTGATCACCGACAATGATGAGACAGCCTATAGGGAGGAGGTCAGAGACCTGGCCGTGTGGTGCCAGGATAACAACCTCTCCCTCAACGTGATCAAGACAAAGGAGATGATTGTGGACTACAGGAAAAAAAAGAGGACTGAGCACGCCCCCATTCTCATCGACGGGGCTGTGGTGGAACAGGTTGAGAGCTTCAAGTTCCTTGGTGTCCACATCACCAACAAACTATCATAGTCCAAACACACCAAGACAGTCGTGAAGAGGGCACGACAAAGCCTATTCCCCCTCAGGAGACTGAAAAGATTTGGCTTGGGTCCTCAGATCCTCAAAGGGTTCTACAGCTGCACCATCGAGAGCATCCTGACTGGTTCATCACCGCCTGGTATGGCAACTGCTCGGCCTCCGACCGCAAGGCACTACAGAGGGTAGTGCGTACGGCCCAGTACCTCACTGGGGCCAAGCTTCCTGCCATCCAGGACCTCTATACCAGGTGGTGCCAGAGGAAGGCCCTAAAAATTATCAAAGACTCCAGCCACCCTAGTCATAGACTGTTCTCTCTGCTACCGCACGGGAAGCGGTACCGGAGCACCAAGTCTAGGTCCAAAAGGTTTCTTAACAGCTTCTACCCCCAAGCCATAAGACTCCTGAACAGCTAATCATGGCTACCCGGACTATTTGCATTGCCACCCCACCCCACCCCACCCCAACCCAACCCCCTCTTTTACGCTGCTGCTACTCTGTTTATTATTCATGCATAGTCACTTTAACTCTACCCACATGTACATATTACCTCAATTACCTCGACTAACCGGTGCCCCTGCAAATTGACTCTGTACCGGTACCCCCTGTATATAACCTCCCTACTGTTATTTTATTTTACTGCTGCTCTTTAATTATTAGCTTTTTTTTTTACATCTTAAACTGCATTGTTGGTTAAGGGCTTGTAAGGAAGCATTTCACTGTAATGTCTACACCTGTTGTATTCGGCGCATGAGGCAAATAACATTTGATTTGATTTGATGTGCCTATAGTTGTGTCTTTGAAAATAAATTTAATGACGCAATGCATTTTTGTAGGCATTTTGTTGATTGTAAGTCAAATTTTTTTTGAAAAGGATATATTGAAATGCCCCTTGCCTCAAGTATCTTGTTTTGTCCTTTTAGTACTTCAAACCAAGTCATCAAGTTTTAAATGTTCATTCTAAGTTCAAAGCATCATGAATACACCTGACTTGTGATTTTATTTTCATTCTATTCCGGTCTTAGGCCTGGGTGGAATTAAACACTGAACATAGTATGTCTTTGCTTTGCTATGTTCAAACACTGAACATAGCATATCCCTTCTTAACTTTTAACAATTTGACCCCTGTTTATGATAGTGATAATAATGCTGATGATGACGCATCTGTCTCTCCCCAGCTCCGTGGCTTGAAACTTCCCACTGGCTTGACTCCACCCTTCCACCAGTGACACTTCCCCTTAGCAACCACACGGCAACGGCATTGACTAGCAACCAATCCTGTAGCGGTGATGATGAGGTCTTTAAGTACAGTGCCTACACCGTCACCTATCTACTTGTGTTCCCTATAGCATTGCTTAGCAACAGCGGAGCGCTGTTCGTGTTCCTGCGACTGACGCCCAAACGCTCTGCCTCCTCCATTCTCATGACCAACCTCGCCCTATCAGACGCATGCTTCTCCCTTACCCTGCCGTTTCGATTGGCCTACTACTTCAGAGGCGCTCACTGGGACCTCCCTGATTGGCTGTGCCGACTCTGTGTGTTCTGCTTCTACCTCAACCTCTACACCAGGTACGCATGTGCACACACACTGCAAAACAGCTGTACAGTAAATAATACAAACACACAAACACACGTATGAACACACACACAGTTATTATAATGTGAGGTGACCCTGCTTGCCCAAAAAGGCACCTAACTAATAAACTATAGTATTATTCTCTTTCCCTATAGCGTTCTCTTCCTGACTGGACTGAGCGTGCTTCGTTGGCTGGCCGTGATGAAGCCTCTTCATCATCGAGCCTTGGCCACGCCCCATCGAGCCTCATTGGTCTGCTTGGGCATCTGGCTGTTTGTGGGTGGAACTTCGGTCCCCTTCCTGTTTTCGGGGACCAGGGTGAGAGCGGGACTAACACGCTGCTTCGAGCCCCATAACTCTGCCTCTTGGAAGAGGATCTTCATTCTCAACTACGTGGGCGTGGCATTTGGCTTCTTGATCCCATTCGTCATCATCCTTGGTTGCTACAGCAGCATCATCCGCCGACTGACAGCTACAGCCAGAAGCCAAAAGCTACAGACAGGGAGCCTGAAGCGTAACCAGGGGAGACATCGTCGCCGGCGCCAGTCTCTGCGTCTAGTCGCCATGGTGATCTGCACATTCCTGCTGTGCTTCCTGCCCTATCACGTGGCTCGCTCACTGCACCTGCACGCAGTGGTGGGCGGGTGGGGCTGCGTCGTTACTGCGACACAGCAGCGGGTGTTGGTGGTGACGCTGTGTCTGGCGGCGACCAACAGTGTGTTGAACCCTCTGTTGTACTACTGTGCCGGGGAGTCCTTCAGAACGGCCATACGCAACGCCTTGTCACGACGACGGTCCCTCTCCTCCCCCACTCAGGGCAGCTTGCTGTACTCTCGTAGGAAGAGGAGTATTCCCACAATACCTTCAACACCAACAATGCCAGAAACACCCCTCGCTCTACCCCTAACCCTTCCTGGGTCCATACCAGAAACACTCAGCCCTGTGAATGACAGTCCATAAAGGGTTCAAAACCTCTCCAGAATCAGAGACACTTTGCTGCATGTGTAAAATGGAGCCCTGAGGCCTGAACCAGAAACACACACACACACTGAAGACTGAACCCTAACATCCTCCAGGACCATAAGACACTAAAGGTTACTACTGTACAAGCTCCACTCCGTTGATCTATGTGTGTGCGTGCACGTGGGTGGAGTGGGATCTTTGGAGTAGCAGAAACCTTTTGGTAACATGATATCCTCGCCGGTCCCAATTCCATTCACAAGGGGACGAAAGCAAGCTAGCCTTTTTAGCTTTCTCATCTTTATGTGAAATAATCAGAAAAAGTCACATGGCTAGCTATTTGGCTACAGCAGGTTCTAACATTTCACAATAACCTGTAATCACTAGTTATTACTTCTAAACAAAATACATTTTGGGGTGGATTCTTGGATTTTCTTGTTATCTGCTCATTTGTGGTGAAAGCAAAATAAGGGTCTCTTGTCTTCCCTTGCTAGCTAGTTGGCTAAACACTGCAAGCTAGCTAACCTTTTAGCTTCCCATATCTCCATGTGAAATAACCAGATTTACGATTAAATAATATGCCCTGCCAAATATTCTTATACACTGAGTGTACAAAATACCTGCTCTTTCCATGACATAGACTGACCAGGTGAATCCAGGTGAAAGCTATTATCCCTTATTGATGTTACTTGTTAAATCCACTTCAATCAATGTAGATGAAGGGGAGGAGACAGGATAATGAAGTATTTTTAAGCCTTGAGACAATTGAGACATGGATTGTGTATGTGTGCCATTCTGGGGGTGAATGGGCAAGACAAAATATTTAAGTGCCTTTGAATGGGGTATGGTAGTAGGTGCCAGGTGCACCGGTTTGTGTCAAGAACTGCAACGCAGGGGCCTCCCGAGTGGCGCAGCGGTCTAAGGCACTGCATCGCAGAGGCGTCACTACAGACCCGGCTTCGATCCCAGGCTGTGTCACAATCGGCCGTGATCGGGAGTCCCATAGGACGGCGCACAATTGGCCCAGCGTCGTCCAGGTTCGGGGAGAGTTTGGCCGGGGGGGCTTTACTTGGCTCATCGTGCTCTAGCGACTCCTTGTGGCAGGCCGGGCGCCTGTAGGCTGACTTCAGTCGTCAGTTGAACAGTGTTTCCACCAACACATTGGTGCGGCTGGCTTCCGGGTTAAGCGGGCGTTAAGAAGCGCGGTTTGGCGGGTCATGTTTCAGAGGACGAATGACTCGACCTTCGCCTCCCGAGCCCATTGGGGATTTGCAGCGATGAGACAAGATCAAAATTGTGGGGCAAATCGCCTCAAGATAAAACATAATATTCAATATCAATAAGTTAGACTAAATATTAGCACTTCATATACTTGTGGGTAATAACATTAAATCTGGATAATAACACAAAACAAATCGTAAGGCTAGAGAAATGTATCGACAAATATGATGAAAACAAGCAACACTCAAACATGACGGAGGGTGAACGAGGAGAATCAATCTCCAAAAGAAAACGTGACTCCTCGACGGATACAAATGATTTATGCTTTTCACCACTGGGACTGGTAAGTGTGGAAAGCGATCTGTTAAAGTCGATAAACGACAAACTGGGCATACTTAAATTAGTGAGTAAGAATATAAAGGAGTTGAAGGCGAGTCTTGGTATGACTGACGAAAAAGCAGCGATAATGGAGAAAGAAACAAAAAAGTTTAAAGGGACAGACATTAAGATAGAAACGGATGTTAATGAACTTAAAAAGGAGAACATCTTTCTGAGAGAAGCCTTACTAGACATACAGACTAGATCTATGAGAGAAAATCTAGTACTTATGGGTATCCAAGAAAGAGAAGGAGAAGTTCCCGAAAAGGTAGTGAAGGAATTCTTTCTTACAGCGCTTCAAATCCCACTCAATGCTGTCGATAAAATCCAACTCAAACATGTACACCGTTTCGGACAAAGAGGACAGAGATACGAGCGTCTAATTCAGGGGTGTCAAACGTCTGGCCCGCGGGCCGGATCAGGCCCGCAAACTGGTTTAATCCGGCCCGCGAGATGATTTTGTAAAGTATAAAAATGCGCTGCAATTTTTCAATAAAATAAACTGCTGTTCCAATTGCGTCCACTGGATGGCGCAATAGCAATTGTGTTAAGCAAGCAAACTGTTTATACCGGGGCAGAGCAAGTACGTCAAGCACGTGCAGCCAGTCCGGATGAGCTACTTTGTTTTGCCCGCGATATTTATTACGGCTTCTACTTTTAACATTATGTGCTTTGGCACCCTCATTGCCCCAATATGTCTCTGTCAAAAAAGAGAAAAGTGGACGCAGAGTGCAGAGTGTTCCAAGAAAAATGGTCATCCTCCTATTTATTCACGGAATTCAATGGGAAAGCTGTATGTTTGGTGTGTTCACAGCATGTTGCAGTGCTGAAAGAATATAACCTTCGTCGCCACTATGTGAGTCTTCATGCCGACAAATATGACAACTTTCAAGGACAGCGGAGAAGAGAGAAGGTGAATGAACTGTTGGCGGGTCTGAAGAAACAGCAGTCTGTGTTTACTCACAGCCGAGACATCAGTGACGCTGCAGTGAAAGCTAGCTAACTCATTGCTAATGAAATCGCAGTGGCTTCAAAACCGTTTAGTGAGGGTGAATTTGTAAAAACATGCATGATGAAGGCAGCGGAGTTTGTGTGCCCTGAAAAGCGTCAGGCTTTTGTAAATATCAGCCTGACAAGAAACATAGTTGCAGACAGGATTTCCGATCTTTCAGTGGATTTGGACAGCCAGTTGAAGCAAAAAGTAAAGTCATTTATTGCGTTTTCGGTTGCAATTGATGAAAGCACGGACATTACAGATGTTGCACAACTGGCCATTTTCATCTACGGAGTTGATGACACATTGACCGTCACCGAGGAGTTCGTGGAGTTGGTGCCGATGACAGATACAACGACAGCAGCTGATATTTTCACCGCACTCGTCGACGCGCTGGACAGGGTCGGAGTGGACTGGTCCCGCGCTGTCAGCCTGGCTACAGATGGTGCGCCCTCAATGATCGGGAAAAAGCAGGCGTTGTGACAAAGTTCAGAGAGAAAGTGCAATCTGCAAATGGAGGACGTGATTTTTTGACTTTTCACTATTTTGCACCAGGAGGCTTTGTGTTGCAAGTCATTAAAGATGGATAACGTCATGAAGGTGGTCATCCAAACTGTTAATTTCATCTGATCCAGAAGCCTGAATCACCGTCAGTTTGACAGCCTTCTCAGAGACCACATCTATGGCCTGCCATACCACACTGAGGTAAGATGGTTAAGCCGAGGTGCTGTGCTGAGGCGTTTCTTTGATTTACGAGAAGAAATTGAACAGTTCATGGAAGAAAAGGAGTGTTAGAATTTCATTCCGCAGAATGGATGCAGGACCTTGCATTTATGGTGGATGTTACAGAGCACCTGAATAACTTGAACAAACAGCTGCAAGGGCGCAACAAAGTTGTCACGCATTATTATGACAGCATACGTTCTTTCAAGTTGAAGCTGTCATTGTGGGAGACGCAACTCGCCGGTGGTGATGCAGCTCACTTCCCCTGTCTGAAAAATGTGTGCGCGACCCAACATGTGGCAGACATGAAGCGGTTCAAAGATAAAATAACGGGACTGTTACGGGAGTTTGAGCAACGCTTTCAGATTTTTGTTGAACTGGAGAAAGACTTCAACGTTTTTTGCTCGCCATTCACCGTGAATCCCTCTGATCTGCCCGTCAGCATCCAACTTGAAATAATAGACTTGCAGTGTGACTTGGATTTGAAGGGCAAATTTGCCGCAGCTGGCTTGGACACATTTTATCAGAATCTCTTGCCAGGTTACCCCAACTTGACAGCCCTCGCTGCAAAACTGTTGTGCATGTTTGGAACCACATATCTTTGTGAGCAAGTTCTCTGTAATGAGCATAAATAAAACAAAGCTGCGCTCAAGGCTCACGGACAAGCACTTGAATCACATCCTGAAGTTGGCTGCCACTCAGGATGTGACGCCTGATATTGATGTGCTGGTGAAAGCTAAAAGATGCCAGGTATCAGGAGTCAAATAAACTATGCAACCCCACTTAAAGTGCTGCATGAGACACCCTGATATAGTTCTGTGATCTGTGATATACTTCTGTGAACCACTGAGGCATTGTGTGTTTGTGTGTTCTTTGTCCTCAGAACTTTCAAATAACTTGGTGTTTTATGATTAATAATTATGTTTGTCTTTTGGACACACTGTCCTCAGGCTCCAGCTTTATATGTATATGTTTTTATGTTGATGTGCTATTGTTTTTAATTGATTTTATTTGTATATTTAACCTATTCTTGACTCTGTGGTTCTTGCACTTGTTTGGGGAACAGGATTTCATTATTTTTATCTACATTTCTGCCTGAGAAATGACACCCTGATATAGTTCTGTGATCTGTGAAACAGTTCTGTTAATCACTGAGGCATTGTGTGTTCTTTTTCTTTAGAATTTTCAAATAAACTTGAGGTGTTTTATGATTAATAGTGATGTTGTGCTTGTACTATTTTGGACACACTGAGTGGCACTAGAGATCCTGGTTCGAATCCAGGCTCTGTCGCAGCCGGCCGCGACCGGGAGACTCATGGGCAGCGCACAATTGGCCTAGCGTTGTCCAGGGTAGGGGAGGGAATGGCCGGCAGGGATGTAGCTCAGTTGATAGAGCATGGCGTTTGCAACGCCAGGGTTGTGGGTTCGATTCCCACGGGGGACCAGTATGAAAAAAAAAAATTGTATTCACTAACTGTAAGTTGCTCTGGATAAGAGCGTCTGCTAAATGACTAAAATGTAAATGTAAATGTTAAAACAAAGAAAACAATCTGAAGTTGTTGTTTTTAAGTTATATATACCATGATTTTACCGGTCCGGCCCACTTGGGAATAGATTTTCCTCCATGTGGCCCCTGAGCAAAATGAGTTTGACACCCCTGGTCTAATTGTTGCCAAATTTGCTT